GCAGGTAACATGCTTAACCTTTCAAGAGAGTGCTTAACAAATTTTTCCCTTTCTCGAGCCACTTTTCTCCTTCCTGGGAGAGTTCTGGTGAAATGATGATGTAACATCAAGAATAAATTGTGTGTGTGTGTGTGTGTGTGTGTGTGTGTGTGTGTGTGTGTGTGTGTGTTGTGTGTGTGTGTTGTGTGAAAGAGAAAGACAGGAGGCACACACAAACACTCCTTGGAGATGAGAGAGCAGAGGTAGGCACTTAGGAAAAAAAAAGGTGGAAAGTTCATGTGGATTTTTCAGGTTTAGTCCAAACTCTTGCTTTCTTTTCCAAGGTTCATGTAAAGCACTGGCCATAAGTGCTTTTAAAACATTTTATTAAGAGAAATTCAGTATATAAAATAATAGCTTTTCCACAGTGGTACAAAAACTACCTCTTAATGTAGGCTGAAAACAATGTTTTAACTGTAGCCACGTGGTGACATAAGGGAGCAAAAGGCTGTTGGTGTGTTGGTCACTAATGTGCCAAGTTCAGGTACCTTAAAGTGTTTAGTCTTCTGTGGAGTTGGCCTCCTATTTTCAGAGGACCTTTAATCATTTGGATTTCAACTCTAGTAAAAACATCTGTACCACCTTCTGCTGTCTGAGAGTTAGGACCTGGATTCCATCCACTCTGAGTAAGAGCACTGGTTTAGCGGAGGATCCGTGGCTGCCACTTTGTAAACAGACTTTTGCTGAGAATTTCTGATGCACTTTGTCCTAGGCCCAGACTCCTTGGTAATGCTAGGGATAAAACAGCAATTCTTTTGCTAAAACTATACTTATGAATAAGGCTGTCTCATTATAGGCAGGAGGGTACTTAAGCAGGAGGTAGTGCTGCTGTCCTTCGTATTCCTACCAACTAAGAATCTTCTTAAGCAAAGCATGAACCTCTTCTTCTAATATGTGTCCTTATATTCCTTCCATGACATCTATTTATTTCAGTATTTCCATAGCAACCACAGCCAAGAAATTGCCCCAGATTTAGAGGATTTCTATATTGTATCACATTATACTAAAGAAAAAAAAATGATAAAAGTGCTATTAATCAGATTAAGCACTTATATTAGCAAACAATTTCATGTCTATAAAATATCACAACTGCTTATTCTTTATCTTTGAAGACAAGGAATAAATTAATATTTCCTTTTAGTAAATGAGAACACCAATACTCAGAAGCTAAATGACTTACCCAAGGTCATACCAGGAGAGTTAGAATTAGGATAAATACATTCTATTTATATCAGTTCCCAACGAAGTTTTAGTAATCTTTATTTTAATCTGTTTACATATTCAAATCTATAAGAATAAACAAAACTGGGCTTTCAAGAGACATATCATCAGAGAAGAAAAGCAACTCATTGATTTTGGTAATAATTACACAAACTTAAAATAATGAGGACAAGATGTGCTTATTATATGAATTCGGAAAATGTAAATAAACTTCTCCCATAGGGGACAGGTTGCAATTTAACATATGGTTTCATTATTGTTGATGGGTCTGTAAATTAGGAAAATATTTCTAAAGAAATCTAGCAAGGTAATGCAAAAGTCCTCCAGATTAAATTTGATTTGATAATATAAATCAAATAATTTATGCTAAGGATATGATTCAAAATAAAAAATAAAAATTTTATTCAACTATCTACAGGCATGTTATATATAATTCTAAAAGTCTGGAAAACACACAATACCTTTTGACTGGCAAATGGTTTTAAAATGAAGTGTGTTATGAACATTGGTATTAGGTTAATAAAAAATAGAAAATAAAATATGTAAAATGATTAAAGAGAATTACAATGCTTGACTGAATCAAACTAGTTTATTCATACCTACTTAAGCACAAAGGATTAAGAACAAACTCAATAAACCACAGGAAAATATTAAAAATCACTGAACCAAAGCTGAAGACATTATTGGTGAATTTTCTCTCAATATCATGTAAATATGTAATTTAAATAGGATTGTAAGTTGATCAACAACCTATTTAGGCAGAAGTAAATTTAATTTATACTAGACTGGTTTCGTTTCTGAACTCAGAGTATCAAATATGGTGGTCCTTATACAGTAAGCCACTGTCTTGAATATTCTCATTCCATTAATAATGAAAAAAAGAAAGACAGCCACACTGAGTGATGGCCAACAGCTAGGTTTGCTCTGGTTTATATAAAATACCTTTTAGACAACAGTTTTCTACAGTGTAACCAAAGGCAATTTTGCTGGATCACACAGAAAATGCTTCCTGTTCTAAGCCCTTTGGTTTCAAGAGAGACACACAGTTCGAGGATTCTCCTTACTGCAAACTCCATCTTCAAAGCAAATTTGTTTTATTTTATTTGCTCAGTTTCCTCAACCTCTTTACACTTCTAGCATGCAGCTTATTGGACTTACAAAGTTCAGAAGAAATTAAAGTTCTGATACATCCATCCGAGGGCTTGAGGGCTGTGCTGAACTCAAATCAATACTGAACAAGGGTCTTTGAGTAAAGCTTGACTGAAAATTCTCATAAGAATTAAATTACATTTTAGAGTCACCACAAATAGATTTCATTAAAGGAAAACTGTGATTAAATGTTCTTATGAGGAAAAGAAGTAAAAAAAAAAAAAAAAAAAAAAAAAAAGGTTAGAATTTCCATTATTTGAATTTACTCAGCTCTTCCAAGTATGTGATTAAATATCTCCTAGATAGTTTTCCTTGTCATAAGCATAGTATAGTAACAGCAAACCAAAGAATAAAGGGCTGGCATCCTACAGAATCACAGAGATCCATCCTATGCCTGGAATGGAGATAGAAACTTGAGCCCACACACTATAGAAACCTATTATTTAGTCAGATTAGACATTCTCCAGTCTTATTACACACTCAGAAAGGCAAGCAAACATTTAAAAATGGGAGAGGAGTATGTCTGAAAGGTTATAATTTCTTTAAGGCCAGTGAATTTCATTGCACAGGTAAGGTTCCCACAGGCCCAGAAACTTTATATTAAAGTTAATCCCAGAATACCATTTATTCCACTACTTTTCCTGAAGAGGCCAAGTGTGCTTTACAATGATCATCTCATTTCTTCTTCATGAGCCTTTGGGGAAATTAACTGGCATCATCCCCATTATATAGATGAGGAAACTGATACTTAAGAGTAAATAACTTTCCCAAGGAGATGAAGCATTAAGTGATGGAACTAAATTCAAACTCATGTTCTTCCCACCCTATTACATTATTTCCCAATACTGTATGATTTCTAGCTAACAAAAGCTAAAGAAGGCTGCCACAGGAGCATCATTAAAATAGCAAAAATCAACAGCGGAGTCAAAAAGGGACAAAAAATAGACACAAGAGCTATAAAAAGAAACCACAACAGTTTGTTTTACTTCATGTAAAGATGCCACTGGGTGCCTCTACACACTCTGCCAACATCACTACCTTAGGGGTCATGGCAATAAATAACTTCAGACGCGGTCCCGACTCACTGTGAATGACACTCTATTTAGTCTGTTTAAAAGGCAAGAAATTATGTAATGCCTTTCTTTTTTCAACAAAGACTTTAAGCTTTTGTTTACTAGACTTACTCTTATGCATAATCTCTCCTTCCAGATCAACAGCATAATATTTTATTTTTATGTTTAGGAAAACTAAAACCCTGTAGCATCTGCAAAGAATATAAGACTGTGGAGTGTGAATAAATGAATGCAGCCTTGGTTCTGACACTAATGATAGGTCACATGAAGTCACTTTCCTCCTCTCGATGGCTTTGCATTCTCATTGCTAAAGAGAGTAATTACGCACATTATTTTAAGATTTTTTTTTCCCAGTTCTATCATTGTATGGCTTTATATGTGTTTAAGTCACCTTTTGAAAGAAAATGAAATAAAACTGAACCTAAGAGAGATAAAAACCCGTATTTAATCCTACAAAGCCTTAATCTTGATGAATTTTCAGATCTGTGCTACAGATCCCAAGGTTACAATGAGCTACAGCTGCCAAGTTATAGGAAAATACTAACCAGGCCAAAAAAATTCTTCAATAAATGTGAACTTTGCAAAGGAAAATATGACTCCCGATACCTTGCACTCAAGGTTTATTTTATGTTGAAATCCCGGGGCACTGAGGGCCAAACCATGACTGTTTTGTGGGTTTGCAAAACAAACAAACAAACAAACAATCACACTACTTTTCCCATCAATAAGTGTTAAACAAAGATTAAAATCATGCTGAAGAATAGCAAAGAGATTTACATTCAATGATAAAAGTTTCTATTCATCAAATTGCCCTATCAGAGGATAGTTTAATGGTAGATTCAGTAAGCAGCATTGCAAAACACTAAGGTAACATGACTGAGAATTTTTTAGTTACCCAGGTATATTATTAAGATAAAGTTTTGTGTTCTGTAATAAAAGAAAACAATGATAAGCTGATTCAGCATTACTGTTCATTTCTCTTTAAGGTGCTTTATAATAAACAGTTCCTCTGTTTGCATCACTAAAAACCTGCCCGGTAAGACGGGTAAGAAACATTTTGGTAGATAAAGGTGACTCAAAGAGGCCAGTATTCTGGAAGAGGAATGACAAGTCCAGAGATTCTGTAAAGATTCCCTGAAAATACTGGGACTTGAAATGCAGGGTAAGACCTTATAAGAGGTGTGACTCAGCTACTTGGGAAGTTTTCTGATGCTTCAAGGAAGAAAATTTTAGCTTGTATATACATGCTTAAAAGCCACAGGCTGATGATCTTCCAAATAGCAGTCCCACCCTAATACACCTTTCTGACCTTGTATGAATGGGGGATATGCAGAAAAAATTACAATGTGCCAGTTTTTACACACACACACACACACACACACACACACACACACACACACACATTTTGAAGTCTAGGAAGAAGTAAAGATTTGATGGCTATATTCTATACGGAGTGACTGGCATTCAGCCACAGAAGACATCTTTGCAAAGTACTTGAGAAACAAAACTGGGACTTACAATGTAGCAGGGCTCGCAGTATGCTTTCTTCTCCACGGCATAGAACGGCTGCCCTCGGAGCTTGTTGTTGCAGACGATGCAGGTAAAACAATCCACGTGGAAGACCTGGTCCATGGCGGTGCATCCTGTACCTTCCCCAACGACGTTTTCTCCACAGCGAGCACAGCGGCCTGGAAAAAAAAAAAAAAAAAAAAAAAAAAAAGGTTTGATAAGAACACGCTTAAGAACACTTTAGTCCTGCTAAAGCCGAAGTGGAGGAGAGAGCAGATTCATCACGTCAGCAGCAACAGAACCCCCAGTCCTGCCGTCATTAACACTAGCAAGATCACCGGCACAGGCACCCCAATCCTTTGCAAGATTGTCATGGTGGGGATTTTACATTCATAAGTTGAGGAGACTGTGTCTCCTAGCCTAAGTTCTTACAGAAAAGAACAGTAGAACCCGGTCTCTGGCTTTGAGGCCTGCGCTCTCACTCTAATCACACATGCAAGTATAAAAGGAACATGACTCAGGATGCTTGGAGTGGAAGGCACAGTCCAGAAAACAGTACAGAAAAGCCTTTCTTCTTGGAGATTCTACCCATCCAGTTAGAATATAAGATAATTGGGTCCAAACTCAAATCTTAGTTCCTTTCATAAAAGCCCTGTTTGTAAAACCTCTGCAGCCCGTCCTATGCGACAGCCAGATCACAAGGCAGTCCTTTAATTTCTAGATCGCTTTGATGGCTAAAAGGTTCTTTCTCCTACTGAGCCATAATGCTTCCTCATTCTAACTGCTTACCCCATTGATCTAGTTCTGTCTTCTGAGACCTCGTGAAACAAATCTCTCTCTTGGACTTGACACCCTTTAAGATATCAAAATTCAGTAAGCATTGCTTGCACGTCTGTTATTCCCTTGAACATCCCCACATCCTGCAACAGTTTCATATACTGTAGGGTTTCCAGTCTCTCAGGGCCACGGTTCTCATTGTTCATGCAATATTCTGCATAGCTCCAGCATTCTTAAATTGATTAATGTGGCATCTGGCCTACATATGGACATCAGGTTTCAGTTTTTAAAATTTGCAGTAAGCTTTAAATGATAACAATCAAATATTATTTCAAACAAATATTTATGTCAGTGAGAGGCATTATGCTGGTTGCCATCCATATCTCTATTTGGCTTCATCATGGGAATCTTGAGCCGGACACCATGTCTACATCTAGTTTCCCTTTTTAGACTTTGTTTTTGCTAAGTTCAAAAACGTCCTATCTAATAATTACAGAACACTGGGAATGTCAGCCAGAAGCTGTAGGCTTTGATAGGTAAGGCATAGCAAACACAGTGCTTCTCACATGTCAGACGTTTTTCTAGTGGCTTTAGATATATTAAATCATTTCATATTCACAACAATCTATATGCAGGTACTGTTATTATGCCTATTTACAGATGAGGAAACAGAGTCACAGAAATGGCTAACTAACCCCAGCCTGAGCAGTCTAGCTTCAGCATCCATGCTCTTAACTACAATGCTATATTGCCTATTCCCAGTTCTGTGTATCTGGATTGATACAGATCTGACGTTATGGAGCATTATGGAGACACTTCTCGCTGAAGACTGCTTTCAGCACTCCGTCGTATTGGATTGGCAGCCATTTCACACTCAAACATGAGAGGGTTAGATGTTTCAACCTGAGAGAAAAAAGGTAAATTTATGTCTAATTCTCTCCAGTTGTGGCCCTGAAAAGTATTTCTTTATATCATGTTGTGGGATTTGAATGTGTCTTTAAACATAACCCAAAGTATGCATCTTAGTTTTTTTTTTTTTTTTTTTTCCCCCTAAGGAATAAGAAATATAAAGGGCAGGTGCAGTGGCTCATGCCTGCAATCTCAGTACTTTGGGAGGCCGAGGTGGCAGATCACCTGAGATCAGGAGTTCAAGATCAGCCTGGTTAACATGGTGAAACCCTGTCTCTATGAAAAATACAAAAACTAGCTGAGCATGGTGGTGCCTGCCTGTAACTGACCCAGCTACTCGGGAGGATGAGGCAGGAGAATCGCTCGAAGCTGGGAGGCAGAGGTTGCGGCGAGCTGAGGTCGTGCCACTGCACTCCAGCCTGGGCAACAGAGCAATACTCGTCTCAAAAACAACAACAATAACGACAACATACCCCAAAAGTGCTGGAAAAAGAAGTATTAAAGTATTGGGAACTGAGCTGTCACTACTACAGTTGATATTATTATAAAGGCTTGATACTCCACTTGATACACCACTACAGTTGATATGATTAAAAGTCTTGATATTTGATGAAAAAATTGTGTATAGCATTTGTTTGTGGCAGGCTTTAAATGTGAACTTGTACCTGTTTTTATTATAAGATAAAAGATGGCTTTAACATTTTGGACCATCCTGCCAACAGTAACAAAGCTGTTTCATATGGCACTATTTTTGTAATTATTCTGAAGAAAAAAAATTAAAGAAAACCACACACACGAAACTGTGCTATGTTTGAAAATATGCTTAAATTCTATCAGCTTCATGCCACCCTTTGATAACATTTCATTACAAAAAACGAATTGGGGATTAGGAGTAAATGGATTGCCAATCCATACGATTATTAAAAGCATATTAGATTCCTGTGAAAGCTGTAATTTTATATTTCACATTTGTTAAATGTAGGCAGGCCAACAAAATTATTTTTCTATATTACTCTTTGCCTTTCTAGGTGTCAAGCAGATTCATGACATAGTGCACGAGGAGCCGTGAGGGATCTGTGGACCACACTTTATCCCTTCCAAAAGCAGTTCACATTAAATATTAAATGCTTGGTCATGGCAGTCTAGTAAGCAGCTAAAAGTAGCAATTTTGATTGAGACTATGATGCCCAAAGTGTAATATCTGGAATCCAAGAACCTGAGCCTACATGGCTTAGGAGAGTTTGATAGGTACCCATGCGGATCTGGGAGCAAACGTCAATCACTGATTTAGAGGGAACAGCCAGAGCAAAGCCTTAAAGGTCAGGCTGAAAAGATAAGCTTTGATATTGTCAATCTATTCAACCTCAAGTATCTACTCTGGCCCACAGCCATGTTCTGCGTCTGGGTGATAAACAAAAATGAATTAGACAATGTCAGTGCCTCTCACAGTCAAGACTACCTACATGCAATAGTCACATGGCAAAGCATGTAACACGCCTTAGAAGAAAGTGCTGTGGAATGTGGGAGGAAAAGCACATTCAGAGGGGCTCAGGAAAGGTTTTGTGGAGAAAGAAGTATTTGAGCCCAAACTTCAAGGATGGAATTTTGACAGGTAAAGGTGGAAGAGGGAAAAACATTCTAGTTTTCCCTCACAGAGAGAATGAATGACTATGGCTTGTACATCAAAACACTGCAGTGGCTGTTTGATGGCATCTCATGGTTTTGTCTTCCTAGCTATGAAAACAGATGGACGGTATTCCTAAGGAACAATCTTTTTTTTTTTTTTTCTGAGACGGAGTTTCACTCGTTACCCAGGCTGGAGTGCAATGGCGCGATCTCAGCTCACCGCAACCTCCGCCTCCTGGGTTCAGGCAATTCTCCTGCCTCAGCCTCCCTAGTAGCTGGGACTACAAGTGTGCGCCACCATGCCCAGCTAATTTTTGTATTTTTAGTAGAGACGGGGTTTCACCATATTGACTAGGATGGTCTCGATCTCTTGACCTTGTGATCCACCCGCCTCGGCCTCCCAAAGTGCTGGGATTACAGGCGTGAGCCGGAACAATCTTCTATTTGATGCTTTGGAGAATATTCCTCCAGAGTGGGATAGCCTAATATGCTGGATGCAAACACGGCCAGCTCTGCTGCCTCTCATTACTTTTTCTATTCCTGGGATACACTGGGGACACCAGCCTTGAGGGAAATCAGTCTGGCACCTTTGAATCACAAGTACAGAAAAAGAGCAAGGAATGAAAAATAAAAATAGTCCCTCACATCAGCAGAACAGAAAAGGTACCCGAATATTCCCTTTTCACATGAACAAACATTTACAAACTATGTCCTTTAGGGAAAGATTCAGAATGAAGAGAAAGTTAGTCAAGCATAGTATATCCTTGCCTCTAGAGGGACTTACACCACACATTATTAAAGGCACACCACGATCTTAACGCCCATCTTTTAGACAGGTGTCTCGGCACTTTTGAACAAGATAAGCCAGGAGAATAGTACCAAACATCGAGGCATCAGAGCGTGAAGGAAACACAGTTGAATATCTCAGACCCAGGGATGGTGTGAAGAGCTTGCTGACAATGCTGAGCACAGTCAATCAAAAGATGCAATGACAGAGGGCCGGCGGCCTACAGAGAACTTTGTCAGTGAATTAAGATTTCCAGAGGCCAGGCGCGGTGGCTCAAGCCTGTAATCCCAGCACTTTGGGAGGCTGAGGCAGATGGATCACGAGGTCAAGAGATCGAGACCATCCTGGTCAACATGGTGAAACCCCGTCTCTACTAAAAATACAAAAAATTAGCTGGGCGTGGTGGCGTGTGCCTGTAATCCCAGCTACTCAGGAGGCTGAGGCAGGAGAATTGCTTGAACCCAGGAGGAGGAGGTTGCGGTGAGCCGAGATCATGCCATTGCACCCCAGCCTGGGTTAACAAGAGCGAAACTCCGTCTCAAAAAAAAAAAAAGATTTCCAAACAAAACAAAAAAAGGGTGTTTATATGTTATTACTTATTTTCTACATCGCTTTGTACTGACTCTAGATTCAGCCATCAATTATTCTTATCCTCTACCTCCACTCTCCCATCTATAGCAACCTCAGCAATATCTCAGAAACGCCTGCTTTCCACCACACGCCTACCACCTAATCATGCTTCCTTTCAAGGGCTATTGCAATGGCTTCCTGATGGTTCTGATATCTCTGATTTACTTCCTCTTAACCACAGAAAGGCTTTACACAAGTCTTAATGATGGAGCTCATCTGAAAAGCGAGAAATTAAACAAGTCATTCTTAGGGATGGCATGGGTGAAGTGCGGCACTCCAGGCAAATCTACAGGTTGAACAAGGGAAGTAGAATGGTGTGATATGGGTTTTCAAGTTTTTTAAAATTAATTAGTTAACTTTTTGAGGGACAGGATCTCGCTCTGTTGCCCAGGCTGCAACGCAGTAGTACCATCATGGCTCACTACACCCTTGAACTCCTTGGCTCAAATG